AGGAAGTGAGTTTGGTGACTTATGGCTTAACATTAATACATTAAATTACAAATTTGCAAGTTCAAATTCACAGAAATTGGTTGAATTTGCTTTAATTGCTGCGATCACAACATCGTCCCAACCTGGAGGGACTGACTCACTGTTAACTACCAGCTCTGTGCTTTACTGTCTTATCTTCAACTGTTCATGTCCAGCGTCTTTAGGGGAGAATCATCTGTAAACTGCTCCACAGTCAGCCTTAAATATCACTGAAACCGGCGACATACAGACAAAGTTCATGGATCAAACTATGATTCTCTCCCAGTCGTGTCGATTGGTTTATTTCTTGTACCCAGTTTCTTCATCTGTCTCTGAAAACCAGTGATACGAAGAAGTTTTCAGCTGTTGGCCAAATTGTTATATTAAACATTGGTATCGTTCTGCTTGTTGCCGGTTGCCCGTGTTGCTGCAGGTGCCAGTTGCCCATCGGGACCTAAAGAGCAGTAACATCGTGGTGAAGAGCAGGAAGGAGTGCGCGCTGTGTGACTTTGGTCTGGCGTTAAGACTGGACCTTTCCCTTACTGTCGATGACTTCGCCAACAGTGGACAGGTAAACGTTGAGCTGTTTAATGTGTCACGAAGCAGAACTTGTATCCGATGTTTCTGTCTTCATTTGATTGGACTCCCCTGTATCGTCCGTCCAGGTGGGAACAGCTCGCTATATGGCTCCGGAGGTACTTGAGTCCAGGGTGAACCTGGAGGACCTTGAGGCCTTTAAACAGATGGATGTCTACTCCATGGCTCTGGTGCTTTGGGAGATGGCCTCCCGCTGCCACGCCATCGGAGGTAGGAACTTTCACAGCTCTCTCTGATAACGACGCAGTGAGAGCGCTGAGAGCGAACCATGATGTGTGTGTTTTTTGGTGCAGAGGTGAAGAGCTACGAGCCAGCGTTCGGCTCCAAGGTCTGTGAGCAGCCCTGTGTGGACAGCATGAGGGACCTGGTTCTGAGGGACCGGGGACGACCGGACATCCCCTCGGCGTGGACGCAACACCAGGTCTGACAAACCCAGAGAGTTCAGACTATGAATTGTGTTTGACTTCCTGCTGTCTAACTCCAGTCTTCTGTCCTCCAGGGGATGGGTGTCTTCTGCTCCACCATCACCGAGTGCTGGGACCACGACCCCGAGGCCCGACTGACGGCGCACTGCGTGGTGGAGCGCCTCAATGCCCTGCAGCAGGAGGAGGAAGAGGAGCGGGAACCGAGGCAAGGAGCCGATGGAGAGACAGAAAAGGACTCAGAGACACCAGATAGTGACCAGACTCCTTCCTTCTCCAGTGCTGCTTCCTCGCCGCCCTCCTCCCCGAGTCCTCAGCCGGACTCAAAGACAGGCGGTACAGACGTATCCCATGATTCCCTGGTTCACACCGGTTCTGTGGTGTGAGCGGGGGACCTTCTTCCTCCTGCTGCTGGCTGCTTTCACACTGCCCACCGGCTGTTCCTGTCACAGATAGTGGAGGGGCCGATAAGGGACTAAACCTCGGTTCCCATAACCCGACTGATACTGAAATCATCTCTGCGAGTACGTAAAACCATCTCTGTTTGCAGATTTATGGTTTTATGGAGTTGACCGGCTTTAGCCACGCTAGCAGGATGATCTATTGGAAATATCTACAGACATTCATGGTGTAAAAACCTTAAGAAACACAGCTTTAAAGGATTTAGTGGCATCTAGTGGTCTCTCGCCTCACCTTCCACCTTCCAAGCATGAAGGACACTGGTTCCCAACCTTTTCTATCAGAGTAAACTGACTTTATTTTATTGATATTTCATATTATATTTAATAATAATACAATGAGAGTAGAAAACAGCTGATAAACTGAACAATGAACCCAAACAGTGAACTCAATAACTGCAGGACGTTTGTGTAAATCCAGTGAATTTCCAGATATTTTTAGGAACTTTTTATATAATTCTCCGTCTTTATTGTCTTTTTTTTAATTTCAACAATCGTACAGACATAATAGACTTTAGACAGATTCAGTGTTTTATTATCAGCTCTTTGGTTGTTTTCTAATGCAGGACGAGACTGAGTGAACGACTGAGTTGTTGTCAGAAATATAATATAATACTCATAGGTTTGTTTTCATTAGTTTATAATCACCTGAATATAAGAATTGTTGTGTTTTTTGTTTGTTTTGGACACAACCGTTCTGTGGAGGAAGGTTGGGAACCAGTGAGGAAGAGGATGCACTGCAGAGTACTGTAGACTTTACTCTGCAGTGGTTTAGTGTCAGTAAACTCAAACCAGTAGAGCCGAGCGGTGTGAACGCAGACGGTTCGGTTATTACGAAGCTAAGAGGACAGAAACAACCAAAGACTTTGACTTTGTGTCTGGAGCGATGAATCAGTCATAGTTCTGCTGGCGGAGACTCGTAGGAAATGTTCTGTTGGAGCTGGCCTCCATTTTGTCGTATTATTCTTTAATAACTACTGTGATTATCATGACTATAACCTACTTGTATGAATAAACAAGAGAGAGAGAGAGCGACGAATCAGATCTCAGACGTGCACATAATTATATGTAATGTTATTGTTGTTGCCAAGATGTTAAAATGGAAACAATGAAGTTATTATTGTAAATTAAAGGATCCAGTTGCTTTTCCATCCAGAGTGAAACAAACACAGAAACCGCTACAGGATGAAAACATCTCCAAACAATGTTCAGTTTGTAATAAAATTTGGTTTTTGTTATTGATTCTGTCTGTAAATGTGTTTCCGTCCATCACCGCGGTTTACAACGGTAAGTGAACGCATCACAGCGAAGAAATATTCATACTGCAAAGTACAAAAGTATTAGCATCAAATGTACTGAAAGGATCAGTGTGTTGGATTTAGCATCTAGTGGTGTAATAGATGAAGTGAGGGGATTGCATTTCCCTCACTTCACCCTCCCTTAAAGCTAACAGGTCCCATGCTAACAGCTAGCTGTCTTTATGCTAAGCTAAGCTAACCATCTCCTACTTGTGGCTTCATATTCAGCATAGACACATTTCAGAGATGTATCTGACTCTCAGTCAGAGTGAATGAGTGTGTTAAACTGTTCAATTATTCCTTTAAAGTATGAAACATGCGTTCAGGATCAATCTGTGGCCTCTGACAACCGAACATTTTTTCTCCTGAACAATAATTAAAACTTTAAATTTCCAACGTCAGAGAGGAAACACATGAAAGAGAAGTTAAAAACCACCAAAACTTTACAACAACGTCTAAAGGTTTAGGGTCTGGGCTCAGAACGGGACGTGGGTTCTCGTGGTCGCCCGCCGTTACTCGACACGACTGACTTTCTCATTTGGGTCTGAAAAAGTTCAGGAACCACAACAGAGCGCCGACTGAGGAGAAACGCCCGTTGTTATGACGACGGAAGCGAGTCCAGCTGCTGTGAACTGATCACTGAACACAAATCAAACACAGCTTTCGGCTTAAAGACTCGCAAAGACGCAGTAAACACAAACTGCAGATGCTTTATATTATATTAGTACTTAAAGTGTGGAGGAGTTAGTGGCATCTAGTGGTGATGCTGCAGATTGCAACCCCCTCACTTCACCCTCCTGTTACAGTGTGTAGGAGAAACTACAGCCAGTGTATTTTTGTCTTTTTAATGTTTAATTAAAGATAAATTAAACAACAGGAGACATGAATACAGCAGAACTCTGCTATAATACAAATAATCTTGCTTTAATTTACAATTTAATAAGATTTTTCTTGTTTTAATCTGAATGTTAAAAGTTATCTAGACACTGTAATAAAAGTCAAATTCTATCTTGGTTTGAAATTTACAGTAAATTACTGCTTGTTTACCACTGACTAAACAACATTTATTCAACATTTCTATTATAGATTTTCAAATTTATTTTAATCTTTTTAAGTGACAAAAAGGACATTTTCTTTAAATAAAGTAATTTTATGATTATTTACAGTTACAGATTCTTCATGTTATTTTACATTAGACAAAATAAACCTTATATAACACTGAAGTCTTCATACAAAGTAGAAACAAAGGCAGTAGATTAAAACCCTGAAACACAAACTGTCTGAGAGCAGCAGAAGAAGAACGGAGGTGATCAGCCGCCGTTCTTTCATCCTTCAGACGCTGATTAAATAATCAGTTATCATTAAACTGGAACTGATCGGCGTCTCCCACTGAAGCTAATCGAGTTTCGGTGTCTGGCTGTCACACAGCGTGGGAACCAACCTGAACAACAATCCTCTCTGTGTCTGTTAGCAGGCAGTCACATGATCAGTGTGGACAGGTGAGTCGTCACATGACTAACAAATCCCATAAAATGTAAATATAAAACAACAACAAACCCTGACTCAACCTGCACTGTAACTTTGTTTTCTTGTAATTTGTGCTGCATAAATAAATAAAATAAAATATATAAAAAGTGTAACTCTTATTTTCTATTTCCATTACAGATTGTATTTTTATTTTTATTTGTATTGTGTATTTTCTGTACAGCTGCTGGAGCTCTGCTACCTTATTTAACACCAATCTTCAACATGTGTCAGTCAAATAAAATACTGGTGACAAAATGTGCATTATATATTTTATTTATTCAAGGAATCAAGGAAATGTTTTTATCATTATACAAAAATAATCAAATTCATGATATAAGTAATAGAAATGTAAATACAATTGTGTTTGTTCCCAGAACTATTTTTTTGCCTCCTGGCAGAAGTTCTCAGTGAACTTTACTGAGTTTCTTTGTCTGTTGAGTTGTTTCTCATTCGGAAACAAGCGGTTTCAGATTTTCTATTTATAGAGACGAGGAGGAGTTTTGTTTTTAAAAAGTATTCTGAACTGAGTCATGTTGGTTTATAGAAAGCTGACTTTTCAGAATGAAACTTTTTTTCCAGTATTTCGGGGATTTTTTTGGGTTTGAAAATAAAAAACTGAAAACAAAAAACGACCCAATATCGTTTTTTGTTCCCTTATTTATATTATTTATTGTTCTATACGCTGAATGTTTGTAGTTTTTTTACTGTTTTATATTTGTTGTTTGCACTGTAACTCTGGCTTTGAAAGGTGCTTCATAAATAAAAGTGTATTATTATTATTATTATTATTATTAACAACTTGAAACTAAAGTTGGCCACAGAGAGTACACTGTCCAGGAGTGTGACCTCCTGTTTACAGACGATCTCTGGAGCTGTGAGTCTGGTCGCTCCTCTCTCCGCTCAGAGATCTTCCTCTGAGTGAGACCTCTCTCTCTCTCTCTCTGACTCTCTGT